ATGTCCCACTCTTTGCGACCCTGTGGACCCTGTAACCCGCCAGGCTCCTCTGTCCATGGGATTCTCCAGGCAAGAACAATGGAGTGGGTTGCCGGTGCCCTCCTCCAGGGGATCTTCCTGACCCAGGGATGCAACCTGCATCTCTTAGGTGTCTCCTGCATTGGCAGTCAGGTTCTTTACCACTAGCACCACCTGCTGTACTTACCCACCAGCTCAAAGGGTGGGAGTTGCATAACAACAGGAGTGTAGAGAGGTTCCTAGGCAAATACCAAGGGAACTTTAAGGCCCATGGTACTGGAAACCGCTAAACTGGTTAAATTGTGACTCGCAGAACAAAAGCTGCAGTTTGCTGTGAGGTGTGGCTTCTGGCTTTGGGTGACTTTTTTCTTTTTTGTCTTTTCCAAGAGTGAAACACTGGCAGTGTTTCCTACCCCAAAACAGACAGATTCCTCGGGTACCTCCCACGGGAAAGTAGCCTGGTGTGTCTGAGTTGGTCCCTAAACATTTCCCCTAGCCGGCTCCCCTGTCTGTGTGGCAGTTACCGAGTGATTTGCTCCGTGGGGTACAGCTTGCCTAGGCTCCCTTGAGCTGCACTATTTATCATGGCAGCAGCTGGAGATAAGCTGGACACAAAGAGGATTTGTGTCTCTGGGTGTCGGGCCCTAGATACGAACGCGGAGGAATTTTTTCATTAGTGGGAAGTCAGAGGAGGGGACTCCAGGCTTTCATCACACGCCCCAGTGCAAACGGCAGCAGGGAGGAGGGCACCCTGGAGGGGGAAGTCCCCGAAGGTGCTTCATTGGACGACTGAAATGAAGGTTTCCAGAGTGGATTTCCTTGGGAGAGATGAATGACACTAAATGTTGTCTGCACTCATGAAGCTGTCTAGGGGAGGTGGGGATTCTTCTATGAGAGCTGAGTTTCTTTGTGTGGAATTAATTACTTGTTCCCACTCAGAAGGGAGCCACAACGGGGCGTGGGGAGCTCCGGAATGGGCACCTCAAGCCGAGTGGTAGGCACGGCAGGGGCAACGCTGAGGGAAGCCCAGGGAACCCCGAGAGCCCACATCTCAAAGGCAAGGAGCTATTGCCTGTAGGTGGCAAACCAAACTCGGGAGGCCTGGGGTGGTGGAGATGAGATAGGACACAGGGTATTGAAGCACAGACGGTTCTAGAACACTCCCAGGATTCACAGACTAAGAAGGGATTCTGAATGAGTCTGAGAGCAAACTCACCAGGAAGCAGCTCTCTGAGTTTGGAGCAGTATCTGAGGTGCAGTCTGGTACTAGCTACAGTCATCCCGTGACTTCTGAATCCCAACAGGAGCTCCCCACCAGACTTGAGGAATGAACTGGGTTTCCCGAGGACCTGTGATTTGTTCATTTCCTTCAGCGATCACTACAGGCAGAGGAAAAACGCTCTCAGTTGAAACTGCCACCCCGGCCCCGTACTTCCATTGTGTAACAGGTCATGCTAACACGGCCTGTTAGGCACAGCAGGAAGGCAGGCTCCACGGTGCCCTCAGCAACCGTGGGCGTGCACGCCTGGGGGCTCAGCCCTGCCTGACTCTGCGATCCCGTGGACTGTAGCCCACCAGGCTCCTCTGTCCACTGTGGGCCTCGTGAGAGACAAGCAGGGATCTCTCCTCCACCAGCGTTACCACTGTGCCCCAGACAGCCCTCAGTACACAAACAGGCTTGGATATCTTACCCCAGCATCCAGACCAAAGGCTCAGACCACAGCATTAAAGACCAGGTGACACATTCACATCCCTTTTCACACTTAAAAATTTCCTCAAAAAGTTTTTATTTTACATTATGATTTTTCATATTTGATCTTAGCCCCAAATAATTACTTCGCATAATAGTGGGAAAGAAAAGGCATGTGAATGGTACATTTCACACCTGAATGACTGCAGAAGTCAATCCTGAAGCTACTCAATGGGAGCGGTTGCCCAAACTGGAGCTTACACTTAAAGGAAAAAGTTGCTACCGTTAAATATTTAAAATGCCTTTTCCCATGCATGGAATATGTTGGATTGGTTTTTGCGTTATTCGTACCTTCCCAGAACAATATGCTGAGCCCCACTGCAGAGCAAGCAAGCAGAGTGAAGGCCCATTGTCTTCTTCCTCTGAGGAATGAAGTGCAGGAGTGGAATTCAGAGCAGAAAAGACTGGAGACTTAGCCTCACGCCTGAGATGTTTTTAATTGAAGCCAGGGAGGGGTCTCAGGCATCATCGTGGGGGAGAATGACAGGGCTGGGCAGAAAGGGCCCATCCCTCCCCCTTTAGTTACGGATATGGCTTCTTCTCCTTCCTCTTCCTATCTTTTCTCCACTTTGTCCCTTTTAAGGAGGTTAAAGGTCCGGTCGGCTCTCAGCTGGGAGTCCTCTGGGTCATTCAGTCTGGCACCAGTCAGCGGATAGCCGGGGGCACCCAGGGGGCTTCAGGCCAGCACTGCTCTAAGCCATGCTCTCTCAGTAAGGAGCATCCGGGTTACTGTGGTCTGGGGTAAGCGACCACATCAGCAGTTTTGGGTGCTTTACTGACGTTACTAATGACTTGGAATCTGACAGTAGCTCTGGTCCCTCCCTGAAGGTCTGCGTGCACACCCAGCTCTGTTCCTGCCTCAATGGGAGAGAGGTATAGACCCCAGGGAGATGATCTGGTGGTCACTCTCATTTCCTGCTTCTTTCTGAGAGGGGGGGGTGGCACCTCTGCACATGATGTGGGTTCCCTGAAATAGTCATAGTCCAATTTGGAGGAGGGAGACTTCCACAGCGGCCAGCCAGTTAGGGGAATAAATGAGGGCACATCCCCACATTTCCGCCCAAGGTCTCGGGCTAGAGATCTGTCACGTCTCACTCTCCCAGGCTCACAAAGCAAACGGCCAGCGAACAGGTCAGCCTTCAGAAAAAGCAACCACTCCCCATGGGTTAGGAGAAAAAAGCCAAACCAGCAAAACCAAACCAAATCATTTTATTGTATAGTTTCTACCAGAAAATTACTAAAAATATAAATATAAAATCTCTAGAAAATACTCGGAATAGCTCTGTAATATTCTTCTTCCCCTAAACTGGGGCCAACCTCTTTGTTCTTTAAAAGATGATGGATTACAAGGTCTTCACCACCCACATTCGTTAACACATTACATTTCTCTCTGTGCCAGTGTAGTATGAATATGCCACCTTTTGGCCAGGTTCTGGAAGCTCACCTTGCATCTGTCAGGGCAAAGCTACTGCTGAATATGGGGATTCAGGGGAGTGGGACCAGGATGTGAAGAAAACCCCACGGCCCCACTTCCTTCTGAGGAGACAGAAGACATTTCTCCTCAGTGCCCTGTCCTGGAGCAGGCTGGGCCACCCCAGGGTCAAGCCTCCAGAGAAGCTGAAGTCACCCTGAGGGGTGTGTGCGGGTCACGCTGCAGTCACAGGAAGGTCAGGTGTTGAGATCGACGCAGGAAGCCAAGTGGGGTTTTGCATAGACAGCTGGTCTGCGCCAGGGCCCTCAGCAGGATAGACACTGCCGTTTCCTGTCGGCCTCTGGGCACCCCTTATCCCCTAGCACCAGGCACTCTCTGCAGCATTTAGGACTCAATTTAGCCTGAGAGCTCCCCCACCCCCTGCTGCAGAATGGCTGAGGTGGCGACCAAAGCGAGGCCACCTGGACGCTGACACAGGGTCCCTCAGCCCCCTCCTTATTCAGCACTGGACACGCGTCTGGGGACGCTGGGGTTGCCCCGCCCATGGTCCCAGGACAGCCTGGCAGGATGCCTGTGCTGACCCCTGAACCTCAGTGGCATCCGGGTGGGGAGCGGACAGCAGGGGGTTTAAGCCAGCCCTGGCCTGCCACCTCTGTGCCTATGGCTACAGTGTCATCCGGCCAGAGCCACTCTGAGCCCTGGGACAGAAGCGGGCCAGAGTGTAGACACTTAGTAAGTTTCCCATCAGAGAAGCAAACTGGACTTCCGGGATGGAAGTACAAACGAAAGCAGGCTAGCTCCCAGCACGTGGGTTTAGCTCTCTGTCCCTCACCTCCAGCTCTGTGTTTTGTGCAGAACCCCAAGCCCTTGTGGGAAAACTCACAGGCCCCCAAAATGCTAGTCCTAAGCACTTCTGAGCATTGAGGGCAGGTATCACATCCTTTGTGATGTTCCTGGAATAAGGCAGGATTGACTCAATTCAGTAACAGCCTTGCTCACTTCACAATGGCCCACCAGGTGCCTGGTGCGCTGGGGCCCTTCTGAGGACGAGGAGACAAAGCTTGGCTGTGAAAAGACAAGGCAGGAGAAAGGCCGTGGCAGAGCTGGGGCTTGGCCAACTTCGTCCTCGCACTTACCACGCCTAGAGCCTGGAACTACATCACGGCAGGCTGTGAGGCGCCCATAGCTGCCCCGAGTCCTTACGACTCCTCTTCCCACCTCCTCCTCCACTCCTGCTGCGGGGTCTCTCGGGACCAGCTCCCTGGATGCCGGGGTCCCGGGCCCTCCCCCCAAATGACGTCAGAACTTGCTCTGCTGCTTCTGCCAGGGCCTGCCCAGCCCTGTCTCCACGCACAGCACGGGAGGCCCGGGCCCCTCCTTCTGGGCAGGGAGCATTCACATACCTGGGGCATCGTCATTCCCAAAGCCTCTGGACATGCCCACGCTGGGCAGGTGCTCGCGGAGGCTGGCTCCGTGCCCTGCCCCAGGGAGGGCTCACCGTGTTTCCCTGTCTAGATGAGCAGCACCTATGAACTCGGGGTGACAAGGCTGCCCAAGTCTCAGGCTTCGTAAGCATCTCCCTCAGCCTGCACCCACACGGGCAGAGGCAAGGTGATGGCCCCAGGCCTGCACTGTCTTGTGACCAGGAAGCGCTGTGGCTAGGCTGTGTTCAGGTGTGGCTTTCTGGGTCTGGGCCCATCACCAAGCCAAACCCAGCATCCCTCATCCACTTTGACTCCCCCTGAGGCAGGAGGCCTCTGGGTGCCCAGGGAGGAGAAGGAAGGAACCAGGAGGGCGAGGAAAAGAGAAGAGCAGGCGGCATTTGGAAGACAGGCAAAGAGAACAGCCTTCACCCTGGGCTGCTGGCCTTGCACATTAATGGGAAGCCAGAGCACCTTGGGAGCAGAGGTGCCCCAACATCCAAGGGCTGCAGCCAGCATGCAGAGAAGCTGGGAAGGCATCCAAGTGCGTGCTTTTTCCATTCCATGGACAGACTCTTGAACTACAACCACTTGGACCTCTGGCCTTGCAATCACCAGGAGAATCACTCTGCTGTGCCGTGTGCAAGGAGGACAGCAGAAGACAGGACAGGGCCAGGGTGCACGGTGGAGCAGAGGGCAGAGGGAAGGGGCGCTCAGCAGGGGCAGACGCAGCTCTACTCAAAGGACAGCAGGTCTGGGTGAGGGCCCTCATTGTCAACGCTGGAGGTCCGCGCCCGGGGAGGCGGGCTGCCGTCCTCCAGAGACTCGGCCAGGCTGATGGGGCTCAGGCTGAGTTTGAGGCCATTTCTCTCCATGAGGCCAGGGGAGGAGGCCCTTCGGCACTCAGTCGCCTTGAGTTTGGGGTCGTCCTGGCTGTCCTTGTGGATGAGGTCAGGTACCGACACGGAAGCCTCTCCATTCGGCAGAGCGTCGCCCCTGTCCACCACCTCCGTGGTGGCCTCTGGCTGGGAAGCATCGGCTGGGCTGGGTTGGGCGGAAGACAAGACCTGGGGCTGCCCAGATGACAGCTCTGTCCCATACTCCAGACTGCTTAGGACAGGCTGTGATGAAATCAGCATGTCCTGGGTGGTCTTCAGGGCCCGAGGGGTTCGCTTCCTGGTGGTGGGAGGTGGAGGATCCAGCCGAGGGAATGCTTCTTGCAGGGCTGACCTGTAAAGTTGACGTCAGTGCTCTGAGGCTGGCGAGACACCAGTCCCTGCTGTGTTCTCCCATCTCTAGCTCCAACTGCATTTTCTACTCACCCACCCAGGGGGGCGCTTTACACTCTGGACTCTCATTCTTGTTTTAGCGTTGAGTCTCAGCAGTGTGAGCACAAATGGCTTTGGGCCTGTCACATCCTCACTCAGTCTTCAGAGCAGTGCAGTGTTAACACTGGGCCCGCTGGTGAACCGCATCACATCAGACCCTACGCAGTAGCTCTCAAAAGTTGCATCACCACCCTCCAAGTCCAGGTGTCTAAAACGAGGCTCAAAATGGGAGGCTTCCCCTGCATCTGCCCAAACATGGGCTTCTCACGTGGGGCTGGGTGTCAGAATCCCCCTGGGAAGCTTGCTTCCCACAATACCTGGGTTTGAATCCAGCTCTGCCCATCACCAACTTTGTACCCTTAAGTTCCTCACGTTACCACTCTGAACCTGCACTGTCTGCAAAATGGAAATGATACCGTCTACCTCAGAGGACGGCGGCAGGGTCGGGTAAAATAGCGCAGCTGAAGTCCAGCACAGTGCTAGGACATGATGGGCATGCCGTGAACTTCGGCTGTGGTGGTGGACGGCGAAGCCGGCTTCCCCAAATGTCACCCTTCAGCTACTTCTCATGTGACAACCTCACGTCCCTGCCCCGGGGTCATTCTCCTCTCGAGACACTACAGTTTATCTGCAAGCCTCTTCCTGGTCCACAACCCGCAGGGAGGTGATAGGCGGCGCACTCACCTTCCGTCATCCCCGTCAGCCCCGCTGGCCAGCTGGGCCCCCGCCGTCTTGTTGACCTCTGTCGCGCCCACGCTGCCCAGGCTCGAGGGTTCCTTTCTCCGCAGGAAGTCATTCACTTTGGCCCCCACCGCTTTGCCCAGGCTCTTGAGGTGCTGACTGCTGCCCACCCAGAGTCCAGGCCCCCCGGACTCCGCAGACCCCTGAGCAGCAGAGCTGGGGGCCGCCGGCCTGGACAAGTGGGGGAAGGAGCGGCTCGCCTGGAGCTTGGGAGTGAGGGCTGTGTTCAGGTTCTCAAACATGCTGTGGTCGACTACAAACAAAGAGGGAAAGAGAGAGAGCTGGTGAGGGGAGGGCGTGGGGACTTCCTTCCCCATGGCTGCCGGCCTTCTCCTTAGACCACACCCACAGCTCGGTAACCCCACGAGGCTCTGGGAATAGTCGAGAGCGCGCCAGCAAAGACACTCTTGAACCTTCCAATCCCATTGTCTTGATGGGCTGTGGGACCAGAAATTCTAGTTCTGCCTCACCCTGGTTAATCAGTGATGAACTCTAGCCACACAAAAAAGCTAACTTCTCCCTTTAAGCCTGCCTCCTTGACTCACAGCCTAACTCCTGACCTTGGGGTCGTGGGCCTTCTAAAGTAGAGGAAAACCAGGATGAAACAATGAGATGCACATTTTGAGGGTGCGGTGAGCACACACGGCGGGGACTTGGGTATTGGGGTAGAAGCTGGTGCAGGAAGCGCAAGTGTGAGGCCTGGAGCTGGAGGTTCTCTGCCAAAGAGCCACACGCGTAGCATGCTTTCTCCGTGGAAAATGCTCACTTCTCCTGCTGTGGAATCTGGGAGAATGGACCAGCTGTTCGAGGAGGGATGGTGTGAACCAAACGGACAAGCACTCGGTGCCAAGGAAGCAGGAGGAAGCTGACAAACACCAGCTCACTTAATCCTCACGACAGCCTAGTGAGATGGGGTGTGGTTAAGGTTTTTATTGTGGAGGAGGAAAACAGGGCTCAGAGCAGTGAACTGTTGGGCCTGAGGTCACAGGCCAATTACTGGTGCTGTGGGAACTAGAAACCAGGTTTTCTCACCTAAAGCTCAGAGCTTGTCCCACTCCTTCCCCTGCCTTGCATGCTGTCTAAATATGCCTTGTGGACACTCCTCTTAGGGATCTCTCTTCAGCTGGAAGGATTAATTAACTCAAAGGGCTGACAGGAGACCCACAGAGTTGTTGATACCTGCAAGACAGTGGCCATATCTCATTCATCTTTGTGTCTTTGACAGCTAACACACAGTAGGTGCTCAAAATAAGTACCCTGAACTGCCAAACCCATTTGCAGATAGAGAACTGTGGCGACCAAGACCGCAGCAGCTCTGAGACGTCTAGTTGAAACAGCTGGAGCTCAGGGTTCTAAGCCATGCTGTATACACCCTGGCATGGGGCAGCGTCTCCCCACCTGGAAATTCAGCTCAGGCCTCAGTGCAGCCAGATGCACGCTAGCACCTTGCAAGCAGGCTGGAAGCTCCTGTCCTTCCCAACTGCTCCAGATACTTTTGTCAATCTATGGGGAGGAAAGGTTGCTTTTGGTCACAGGCTCCTCTCCTAAGTGTCTATTCTTGCTGAGCCTTCCTAAGAGGAACTGAGATTAGGGTGTACATTTTCTTCTGTTGAAAAAAGTGAAACTGTTAGTCGCTCAGTCATGTCTGACTCTTTGTGACCCCGTGGACTGTAGCCTGCCAGGCTCCCCTATCCAGGGAATTCTCCATGTAGGAATACAGGAGTATCCCTTCTCCAGGGGATCGTCTCAACTCAGGGATTGAACCCAAGTCTCCTGCATTGCAGGTGGATCTCTGCCCTGCCCTGCTGAGTCCTGGGTCACAGGGAGCATTTCTCTGTATTGTGGTTTCAAGCAGAGATCTCTCTTCTGAGCCAACTACCTCAATGAGCCAGATGGTGAGGGTCTTTGGAGGTAGGAGGCAGCTGTGGGAAGAGTGGAATCTCCGCCTTTGGAAAGCCCCAGTCTTCACCCCTGTAACTGACCCTAACCCACATGCAGGAAAAGCACCTCTGCAGGAGACATGCCAGGAACTTGATTAGGGCATCGCTGGGACACCGGGCACAGAGCCCGCTGGTTCAGGCTGGCTAACTTCCCGGTGTAGACCCACCACACCAGCAGGAGGTCCTTGCCCATCCGACAACAGGGGTATCAACTCGAGTCTTCTCCTAGAGTGTAAATCCTGCCATGTTATCTACTTTCGCATAATTTACCTATCATGTCCCACATTCTTCAAAGTGTTCTTTGATCATGAACTCTTGAAAACTAGTGCATTTAATGATTTCCCCCCAAACTAGAAAGTATTTGGGCCACCATGAAGCTAGAGTGAGTGTTCAAGAGAGGTAGGCTGGGGAAGAAGGCCAATCCCCACCACTTCTGGGCTCGCATAGTGCTGTGGCTGCTTCTTTGTTGGTTTAATGTGAACTTTCAGAGCAGACACATTCATTTCTAAAAGTGTAAGTACCAAAAACACCTGGCAAAGCAACTTGTAAATTGTAAGCCCCTTTATCATAATTATTGAGGAAACGGTCTAATAAACATAACTTTCTGACTAAACACCATTTTAGATTTCCTGTACTTCTTGCTTCTCTACCCATCAGAATGTATATGCTAAATTCTTAAGTAATTTAAAGATAGCCCATCACATACTCTCTTCACAATTCTCTGAAGTCTTCTGGTAAATACATCTTGTCTTTATAATAAAATAAGCTCCTCCATGGGCTGTAGCATCTTAAGTGATAACTCCGGGCCAAAAAGCCCAACAAAAGGCCCTGCAAAAAAACAAGCAATTAACAAAAAAGTTAAATGAAATGAACTTTGACGTGAACACTTAAAACTGACTGCATTAGGAGCTAACATCTTAGAAAAATTGTTCTCCAAGCCCTTTTCCATTTACAAAAGTCATTCAAAACCTCCTCCTGCGGGAGTGGTCCACAGGGGCTCTTGAGGTCAGACTGGGAGGAACTGCCAGCCTCCAATGCAGGACTCTCCCTGGGGCTTCCTTCATTTCCCCATCTGAGGGGTGTGCAGCAAGCCCCTTTCCTGCTGAAAGCATTAAGACTGCGCACACTGTCAGGACCAGAAGCGTGGTGGTTCAGAAAATAACAGTGATGGTGGAAAGGAAGGTAATTGGACCCCAACCAGGTGACCCTCCCAAGAGCACCCCCAGCATGCACACAGTCAAGCAGAGGGGGACATCTGGAGCCAAAGTCATCCACAAGAAAGACGGTATCTTACCTGTCCGAGAAAGGGGCTCGGAAAGCAGGTGGGAAACAAACGAGAGAGAGACACGTTTTATGTAGCGACCGACCACGTGGGGAGTGTCGTCTCCTGTCTGGGCCACCGGCAACCACACACTGCGAGGACACAGCATGCAAGACAGGTGCCCTGTCGTGAGGCACCCAGGAGGACCGGCTGCCCGTATGCTTTTTAATAACCAGGTCAAAACAGTGTTTTAAAAACCCTCCCAACAGGCACTGATGTAGCCTCCTGTATCTTCCCCAATATTCTGAGCCCCCTTTGCATTAGGTATATCTGAAGTTCCTAGCTGGCGGAAGGAGGAATGGATGGGCCAGGGCAGGATGAAGTTCTAAGTTTCCTGGATCCTGTGTGCATCACTCCTTCCTTAGTTGTGTCATTTCCACATGCAAGTCACTAGATTTAAGACCAGGAAGATGGTCATTCATCCAATCACATCAATTAACAGAATGGGAAAGGCAGGTGGCAGAGAGGTATGCCTCATACCCACAGGGAGCTAAACGGTGGAGCCAAATTTAGAACTCACACAGGCTGACTCCCTGAGCCCTGATCTTTCTGCGGGCCACAACAGCCAACTGAAATTGCCAACACCTTACAGTTACCAAGGGGCATAGTATCAGTTTGCATCCCGACGCGTTCTAACATTCCAGGCCAGGCTGTGGAGGCAGCGTGAGGAGAGCACGTTCTCCACACTGCCCCCGGCAAATGGCTGAGTGTTGTGAACAAACACAGACAGGACAACTCTGGGCTCCACACGTAGTCGCTCAATCACACTTGGTCCACACACAGCAGGGTCGGTCCACTGCTGCTTACAGAGTGGACCAGATCTTTCCCACACTGCACAAACATAACCACCTTTACATCTAAAGCCCCGTATGCATCTCGAGGTGATGATCTAGAAGATCAACTCACCCATCAACCCTCTAGCAGGCTACCCAGGCTGTTATATGACAGAAGTGAAGCAAAGAAAAAGGCAACCTTGCCACTCTGAATTCATAATCTCATGGGAAAATAGCTTATAATGAGCAAATGGTGTTGAGTAAGCCACCCATTTATGTTTTAGTCATTTGCTAAAGAAGAGACAGCACCAACCATTTAAAACAGTATCTGGTCCCTATTCTTGAGAACATGTTGAGTATTTAGGCACAAAGGGACATTATGTTTTTGTAACTTACCTTCAAATACCTCAGGGGAAAAAAAAGTATACATGCATAGACAGAGAGGGAGGTAGGGAATTGATAAAGCAAATGGAATAAAATGTTAACAATCGGAAAATCTAGATACAGGGTGCATGGATGTTCTCTGTACTAATTTTATTTTTGCAGCTTTTTAAAAGTTTGAAATTATTTCCAAAGAAAACTATAACAGAACACACCATATCCCAAACCAGACGCTAAATTAAAGCAACAAAGATATCTGGTGGCAGAAATTAGGCAGATGAAAAAGGAAACAAGGAGGTCACTCAGAGAGGACGGAGAACCCCAGAGCTGGGGGCAGCGACAGCGACATGGAAAAGGGACGTGAAAGAGCTGATGGGGGAGCAGACAGCATCGCGACCAGGTCTCTCCTGCATGCCTGCATCTCTCTGGACATTCCCAACTAAGACAGGCCACTGAGGAATGCCAAGTCACAAAATTCTCTAAAAGTGTTTATCTTGCTTGCACCAGACCCCATCCATCTTTGAGGGGCCCCTTACTGGTGAGTGGAATCACGTGGTCTTCCTGTGATGTCACCTGCACTCGGAATGTTTATCGTCTGGACAACCCAACCAGCCTCTGGGGAGCAGGCGTGCGTGACCTCCGTACCCTTCGGTAGTCAGAATATGGAGAACTTCTCACTCCTCAGCATTTCTGGAACTCGAATCTCTTCCCCTGCCCTGAGCACTCTTCCTAATTTTATGTCTTCACGTGCCACCAGCTTGCCAGGTAAACTCTGGTGCCCCTGGGCCCTCCCGAAATGTGGCTCTTTGAAGCTTGTAACTGAGTACTCTACCAGATCATGTTACAGGACCTCCATTTAGTGAGAAAGTTAAATTACACATGGGGAGAAAATAATTTTTCAAAATACTGTGGGTGGGAGGCATTTTAATTGGAGAAACCAGTGGTCCCTGTTGTTTATTCATTTTTTGCAAGTGAAGAATGGGGGAAACATTTGTTGTCATGCTTTTCACCCTCTGAATCTGCATGAACACTTGAGGGGCCAGCCTGTCTATGTAAGTTGGAGAAGAAGAGTCTGATGAGTTCACCATGGAATAAAGCTGAATGTTCTGACTTGCTGTTCAAAGCATGGTCCATGGACTTCTAACATCAGCATCACCTGGGAGCTTGTCAGAAATGCAGAATCTCAGGCCCTACCCAAGACCCGCTGAGTCAGAATCCGCACTTTTGACAGTATTTCAGGTGATTCCTATGCACACTAAAGTTAAGTGCTGCTCCATGGAGGAGTAGTTCTCCTAAACACCCACTGCCTATACACAGGACATTTGTATCCATTTCCCAAGCTGAGCACAGCTACTACTCTGAGATTTGAGGAAAGCCAGTTTTTTAAGCCAAGTATTAGCAGCCATTAGACAGCTAAGGTTCATCTGCACACTTTCTGGCTATGGGTGGGAGGCACTTTTATTGGAGAAACCAGCTTTTCATTCTCAAAGGGATCTTGTAACAAAGCAACAGGGCCCATGACTCCCTCCCCTGGGCCCCGGAGGGACCCAAAACATGCAATGTAGATTGAACACACAGAAACACGTACACACACACGGTGAGCTGCAGGAGGGTCAAGAGAGGGGTGGGCCAGGCAGAAAGCTGCCATCTGGCCACTTCTTACATTCTCCTTTGGAGAGGATCTTTCCCGGGACTCACTGAAACCACACCCTACTTGCAATTCTCCAGGAGGTCATCCAGAATAGCTCTACCTATCTAGGTGCAAGAAAGGTCACTGTTTTGCTTCAGCTTTGCAGTGCCTTGAAAGTACCAAGGTTGAACCTCTAGGTACGTCTTGGGGGGAGGGTCCCAACAAGAGGACCCCCAACAATGCTCAGCTCACCGGAATGTTTCTCCTGTAACCCAGACATCGCGAAGACTGTGTTACCCACTGAGGTGTCCAGCCCAGTTCAGGCCCTGCTACCCCAATACCCAAGCAGCATTTTCCGGCACGGGATGCACAACATAGTGCTCTCGCCAGGTGAGGCCTTCTCCGGCTGGGGCGGGCACAGATGCGAAGCCGGGGGGATGGGGCTGCTTCCCTAAGGGCATGGGGGGGCTGTGCGTGGGATCACCACCTGCTGCCTTGCCCCCTGCAGTCTTCTGCCTGGCGCTTCCTTTAGCAGAGACCTGCAGGCCTGTGGAGGCCTCTTGCTTCTCCTCTCCTGTCTCTCATGCTGATGTACAACAGCAGTCTCTGCCTGACCAGGCTGTTGAAGGCAGGCAGACAGTGAGGCTGGAAAAATGGCCACAACCATTGGTGGAAGGAAGAGGGAGTGCAGAGGTCTGGCAGTCTGCTCCTTACAGGAGGCAGAGGGGAGGTGTCCTCAGGGAGAGACACACCTGACAAACACCAGGGCTTAGTTAGTGACTCCAACGGGAGTCCCTGCCCAGAGGTCAAACTGCCATTTGTACCGGCAGAAAAGCAAACAGCAGGAAGGAACGCCTTAGCCTGCTCTCCCCACCGCACCCTCTGCCTGCTCGCAGAACTGCACCCAAGGCGGGGCAGGGGTAACCTGCGGGCATGCCCGACTAACCTGTCTTCTTGTCCTTCTGCGTCTTTGCACAGTCTCTGGCCACCCCAGGCCTCAATGCTCCCTGCCTGGCCTGAGGCTCAGACGCAGCTCTTTCATTTGCAGATTGCATCTTGGGGGACTCCCCAAATGGAGAGCAGCTGAGGTGGAACTGCACCATCTACCGGCCCTGGTTCTCCCCTTACAGCTACTTTCTATGCAAGGACAGAGAGAGCCACCTCGAGACCTACAGCTTCCCGGAGGTGCAGCGGGACGAGGGTCAGGGGGACAGCTGCCTCCCGGACGACACAGGCGAGAGCATCTGCTCATCCTCTTCCTCCCCAGAGAGCACCTGTCCCCGAGAGGCCATCAGGAAGTCCAGGCCCGGCCCAGACTCCATCACCTCCCAGGACATCCTGATGGCCTCCAAGTGGCACCCGGTCCAGCAGACTGGCTACAAGTGTGCGTCCTGCTGCCGTCTGTACCCGACGCTGCACTCCCTTAAGAGCCACATCAAGAGGGGCTTCAGGGAGGGCTTCAGCTGCAAGGTGTACTATCGCAAGCTCAAAACCCTCTGGGGCAAGGAGCCGAAGGCCCGGCCGGCAGACAGGCTCTCCTTGGGCAGTGGCCAGGCCTCCGGTAGGCCTGCTGGACAGCAGCAGCTGCCTTGTTAGTGGATGCCGCCCGGTAAATAGGGGACGATACCTATTTATGTCTCTGTGGAGATGTCAATAAACCAAAGTCAGTGACGGCCTTTTGTTAAGTGTGAGGTCACCCTGTACCCCATCCTTCCCAGCCCCTGGCCCCGATCCCGTTTCTCTTCTGCTGCTGGTTGCCTAGCAACACCAGGCCCATCTCCCCGCCTCTTTGTTTTGAAAGAATACCCAAAGTATGAGAGTATCTTCCAAGATGGTGGTTTTTCAAAGTGAGGTGCGCAGACCAGAAGTGTCAGTGTCCCCTGGGAATTTGCTAGAAATTAAATTCTCAGACCTACTGAATCAGAACACTGCAGGTGGACCCCTCGGTCTGTGCTGTAAACGCCCTCTAGGCGATTCTGATGTAGCTCGAGTATGAGAACCACCGCTCTAAGACTCTGACCACCCTGCTGCTCCCTCTGTGATCAGTCCTGGCCCCGCGCCATGGGGAACCTCACATGGAGGGAGAAGTGTTGAAGGCCCTTTCCTGTCAGCCTGGGGAAGCTTGCATCGGCAGAATCTGCGTGCAGTTTGAAAGCTTCTTAGGTGTTAGATCTTCTGAGGGATGGAGTGGGAAGGCCATGCCTCACACATAAGCCAGAAGAGAAGCAAATAAGGCTGGGTCCCATTCCTACCACGTATGCCATGATGCTTCTCTTGGAAGGGACATCTCTGGCTGAAGTAGGTCATTTTTGACACATGGGACATCTTTACATAGCTCTGTTGAGTCATGGCAGAAAGGCCAGGTTAAACATGTGAAAACACTGCTTCTAGTACCAAGGAATGTCCCAGCAGATAGGCCTGACCCTTATTCCATTTTCGAGCAAACCTCACAGCCCATCCTGACACAGAAACACGGATGAGCACTGAGTGGGCAGCAAGGACACCCGTTTGGCCCATTATGTGGTGGAAAAAGAAGACAGAGCGTAATGTTCAAGGTCTTATTTTTAGGCTTTATTTACCTCTCACTTCATCTTGGGCTCCTTCACTGCAGGGGGTGGGGGCGCGTTTCCCTTCGGGGACCCTGGCACCAGCCCTCCCCTTGTCTCTGCCTGCCCACTGGTTGGCCAAGGTGGGGAGTGTCTCCTCTGACCCTTCCCATGGTCATAAGCCCCACATTATGGTTTAGCAAAGCTGCTTCTGCTTAGCACCGTCCTGCTCAAATACCATCTGTGGTTCCTTTGTGAGAGAGACTGGACTCACGGCCCCACCACACCCCAGTCCTTTGCTGGGAGGCCACTCCCAGCCCCACACCCAGTGCCCTGCTCCTCACCCCACTCCTTCACCTCCCTCCACCCCCCCGTCGGAGCCTCCAGCTGGACCAGGAGCCAGGACGAGCAGGGTCCCACTCTGCCCCCAGGGGGCACGGTGGTCTGCAGGCAGCCCTGACATGCCTCTACTTCTTCCAGGGCCTGGTACTCTGAGGGAACAGATGAGAGGCTCTCATGACTCTTTAGTCCTCGCCCTGATGCCCTCCTTCCCTCAATGGAAAGCCACGGAAGCCTCGGGAGCTTCTCCTCGAGGTCTCTGCGCACACAGGTCCCCTGATGGGGGGCCTGTGGGAGCACAGGGCAGGGGGACAGGGAGTGGCCCCGGGAAGGCTGCCCACCGTCTCGTCACGGTGTATGGGGACCCAGGAGAGGAGTCATTCCCCCTCAGCCCAGCCCTCCCGCCCTTCTCCGGACATCCGCATCACGGGCACAGCCAGGGAACCTACGTGCAGGCATGCTCAGCTGTGTCCGTCTCTTTGCAACTCCATGGGCTGTAGCCCAGCAAACTCTTCTGTCCGTGGGATTTCCCAGGCAAGAGTATTGGAGTGGGTGGCCACTTTCTTCTCCAGAGGGATCTTCTCGACCCAGGGATTGAACCTGCGCCTCCTGCCACTGGCAATCATTGGCAGGCGATTCTTTCCCGCTGAGCCGCCTGGGCACAGAGCACAGTTTTAAAGAAGAGACAGAAAGCCATCGAAGGCTGGGGTTTGAGCCGAGGGCCTCAGCACATGCTAATCGAGCGCTGGTGGGTGCGCAGAGTTAGCGTTTTCTCCCTAAGGACGCCTGCTTTCCACCTTTCACATTTAATGCAGGGTCATTATGACCCCAGTAGCATTCGCAACATACAGAGTTCTGAGGAGGTTCCGCGCAGCAGAAATGCACACAGCACACGCCTGCACTGCCCACACCAGCGCGGCCTCCCCCTCCCGGCTCCTCAGAGGTCCCCTGCACTGTGCCCGAGCCCCGGCCAGGCACCC